GGGAATGACTCACTCGGAGAAGCCCTTCCACTTGAGCAGGTATTCCACCTTGCCCTTGACCACGCGCCGGTCCAGCACCTTCTCCACCACGTACTCCTCCTCCTCCTCCTCCAGCACCTCCTCCACCTTCTTCTTGTTCTGCTTCTTTCCCATTGTGCTGGCCAGCTTCTCCGCTTTCCCGGGCTGCTGCGGGAGGAAAAATCCGGGATTTGGGGTCACTGGGCTGCTGGGAATAAGGGGATGGACTTTGGGATTGGGGTCCCTGCTCGGCAGGGAATTCCTGGATCCCACACTGGGATTTGTTTCCAGGCTGGAATGGGATTTCCCACCCTGGCACACTGGGATTTCCTGGGATTTTCTCTCCCCTGTGCTGCTGGAGCTCCTTGGGAACACTGGGATTTTTCCCTGGGAACACTGGGATTTCCATTGGGAACGCTGGAATTTTCCCTGGGAACACTGGGATTTTCCCTGGGAACACTGGGATTTTCCCTGGGAACACTGGGATTTCCATTGGGAACACTGGGATTTTGTTTGGGAGCACTGGGATTTTCCCTGGGATAGGAAATCCTTGGGAACACTGGGATTTTCCAGGATTTTCTCTCCCTGTGCTACTGGAGCTCCTCGGGAACGCTGGGATTTTGTTTGGGAACACTGAGATTTTGTTTAGGAGCACTGGGATTTTTCCCTGGGATAGGAAATCCTTGGCAAAACTGGGATTTTCCCTGGGAGCACTGGGATTTTCATTGGGAACGCTGGCATTTTCCTTCAGAAAACTGGGATATTCCCACCCTGGCCCACTGGGATTTTCCAGCATTTTCTCTCCCTGCCCCACTGGAGTTCCTTGGGAACACTGGGATTTTGTTTGGGAGCACTGGGATTTTTCCCTGGGATAGGAAATCCTTGGCAAAACTGGGATTTTCCCTGGGAACACTGGGATTTTCATTGGGAACGCTGGGATTTTGTTTGGGAACGCTGGGATTTTTCCTTCAGAACACTGGGATATTCCCACCCTGGCCCACTGGGATTTATCCCTATTCCCTTCCCACATTTCCAGCCTCTTTCACAGCAGATCCCAGGGTTATCCCACCGCAATCCCAATTATTATCCCCTCAGTTTTATGGGAACACACGGAGCTGCTCCCAAACCCATGCCTGCCATCTTCCCCATCTGCATTCCAGGGAGAATTCCCATTTCCTCACCCCCAAAATCCCCTTTTCCTAACCCCCAAAATCCCAGTTTCCTCACCCCAAAATCCCATTTTCCTAACCCCCAAAATCCCAGTTTCCTCACCCCCAAAATCCCATTTTCCTAACCACCAAAATCTCATTTTCCTCACCCCAAAATCCCTTTTTTTTCAGCCCCAAAATTCCCTTTTCCTCACCCCAAAATCCCATTTTCCTCACCCCTAAATCCCCTTTTTTCAGCCCCAAAATCCCCTTTTCCTCACCCCAAAATCCTCTTTTCTCCCACCCACGGCACACAGGGAACATTCCCGGGATAACCCCGATTCCAAATCCACTTTTTCCAGGGAAAACCTTTCCCAGCTCCTTCTCCGGACACACAGATACCCCAAAAACCTTTCCCAGCTCCCCAAATTCCACAGATTCACCCCAAAACAGCTCCTGCTCCGCTCGCAGCGCACTCCCGGCCCCAGCTCCGCCCCGAATTCCCGGATTCCCCAATTCCCGTTCCCAGCCCGCATTCCCGGGATTTTTCCCGTTTCCCGCCAAAAGCTCTCGCTCCCCATCCGGACCCTGCCCTTCATTACACGGCATTTTTAAAGCCCCGTGCCCCAAAATCACGCTTTTCCCCTCACAAATCCCAGGCTTTTCCCTCAAAAATTCAACTTTCCCCTCACAAATCCCCTTTTTCCTACAAAAATCCCAGGTTTTCCCCTCACAAACGGCACTCTTCCCCTCACAAATGCCACTTTTCCCTCACAAATTCCCCCTTTTTCCTTCACAAACCCCAGGTTTTTCCCTCACAAATGCCACTTTTCCCCTCACAAATGGCACTTTCCCCTCACAAGTTCTCCCTTTTCCTCCACAAACCCCAGGTTTTTTCCCCTCACAAATTCCACTTATCCCCCCTGCCAAGCGTCACTTTTCCCCTCGCTAATCCCACTTTTTTCCCCCCTCACAATTCCCCATTTTCCTCCACAAATTTCACTTTTTTCCCTCACGAATCAAAACCCATCGCTGACCCCTTCCCCATCACCCA